CCTTTTGACCATCAGCTCTAATAGTTTCACGTTTCCATATGACATGAGTGGATTCCACAATTTGAAGTATTTTGACGCTAGTGAAAACTCATTTCTAGGGCCTTTCCCTAAATTCTTGTTCTCCATTCCTTGGTTACAATGGGTTGATTTGGGAGGAAACCAATTCACGGGACCTATAGAGTTTGCTAATACATCATCTAAGCTTCAGTTTCTAGACATTACTTATAATAGATTTGATGGTCCAATCCCGGAATCTATATCTGAATTTCTCAACCTCGAAGAGTTACATCTTAGCCACAACAATTTCAATGGGCCAATCCCTCGATGTATATCAAAGTTAGTCACCCTCAACTCGTTATATCTTAACGACAACAATTTCAATGGGCCAATCCCTAGATCTATGTCAAAGTTAGCCAACCTCAGTTATCTTGATCTCTCCAACAACAATTTGGAAGGTGAAGTGCCAAGTTGCTTGTGGAGATTGGCGACGGTGATGCTTTCTCACAATGCTTTCRGCAGTTTTGGAAGCTCTTCACAAGAAACACTGATCCAAGAGTTACACCTGAGTTCGAATTCTTTCCGAGGACCATTTCCCTCTTGGATCTGCAAGCTTAAAGGATTACGCTTCTTAGATTTGTCCAACAATCTCTTCAACGGCTCAATTCCGCCATGTTTAAGGAATCTCACTTTTTATTTGACAGAGCTAAGTTTGCGTAACAACAGCTTTAGTGGAACACTTCCAGATATATTTACCAGTGCTACCGAGTTACAATCATTCGACGTTAGTCACAACCAGCTGGAGGGAAGTTTTCCAAAGTCATTGATCCATTGCGATCTTCTGGAACTTGTGAATGTGGAAAGCAACAAATTCAAAGACAAGTTCCCATCGTGGTTGGGATCTCTGTCATGGTTAAGTGTTCTCAGCCTCAGATCAAATGAGTTCTATGGGCCGCTGTATCAACCACACGTGTCCGTTGGTTTTCAGAGTTTAAGAGTCATTGATATATCACACAACGACTTCACTGGAACACTACCACCTCACTATTTTTCTAGCTGGCGTGAAATGACCACATTGAATGAAGGAAGTAACGAGTACATGCTAGAGTCCGTGAATGCTTCTGAAATCTATTATCGGTCCATGGAAATGGTGAACAAAGGAGTAGATATGAGCTTTGAGCGGATCCACCACGACTTTAGAGCTATTGATTTTTCTGGAAACAGAATTTACGGCATAATCCCTAAATCCATTGGCTTTTTGAAGGAGTTACGTCTTCTTAACTTGTCAGGTAACGCATTCACAAGAGATATCCCACGGTTCTTGGCAAATTTGACAAAGCTCGAGACATTAGACTTATCGTGTAACAAGCTGTCTGGTCAAATCCCTCAAGATCTTGACAAACTCTCATTTCTGTCATACATGAACTTCTCCCATAACCTTCTCCAAGGTCCAGTGCCAAGAGGCACACAGTTTCAAAGGCAGAAATGTTCTTCGTTCTTGGACAACCCTGGACTTCATGGTCTCGAAGACATTTGTGGAGAAACTCATGTCCCGTATCCTAGAACATCACAACAACATGAGGAATTGTCAGAGTCGGAGGAACAAATGTTCAACTGGGTAGCTGCTGCAATAGCCTATGCACCTGGTCTATTCTGCGGATTGGTGATCGGACATATCTTCACTTCACACAATCATGAGTGGTTCACAGAAAAGTTTGGTCGTAGAAAAGTCAGAGTCACCACCATAAGTAGTCGTTAAGTTCGTATCTTGCAGTCTCTCTAACAAGCATTTGTGAAGCATATCTTGTCCAACGTCTTGTTCGTGTTTGTACTGAATTTTCCATGTGTGTTCTTGTGTCTGTTTGTAATAAACGTCTTTGGTGTGGTGGCTTGGAAATGTGTACGAACATATCTTATATTTATGAAGAATCCATCAACTACTTAAAAAAATGCATACATGAAAATAACGTAGTAGCCGTAAAAGAATATGGTGGAAAAAAGAAAATAGAACAAAATTTACACAATTTGAGAGAAAAACCTTAAGCTGTAGTAAAGTTTATATAGGGTGTAAAAAGCTGATCCCAGGAGATGTTTACATAACATTTCCATTTTCTGAAAAGTTTTCTCTGCGTCACAAAGCCCACAGTGCAATCTCCATGTGTACAAGCTTCTCTTTACTACACGACCAAACACAAACCCCAAGAGATCTCGATTAGAGCCTCGGTCATAATAGATCCAAAAGAGATGGTTGTGAACCATTGGGCTTTGAGGTAGATGTGCCAGTGCCACCTCTACCTCTCCCCCTTCCTCTTCCCATTGCTGCTGAAGGTGGTGGTGCGAGTTTCAGAGCGGATTGCTGGGTTTTGCTTGAACCGAATATGGAGCTGATATCTGCTGGCTTTTGGTTATTGTATGAACCACTAGTGAAAGATGGCATTCCTTGGTTCTGTACAGGTAACCCGAAAGAGTTTACTGGATCTGCAGAGATACCTGAGTTCCCTTGCTGGGGTGGTTTCAGTGAAGACATGGAGGCACTGCTGAATGCCCAGTTGTCATTGTTAGCTGTCTGAAAAGACGTGCTGGCTGGTAAATTGCTGCTAAAACCAGATGCAGTACCATTGTTGAGACCGGTAGAAGTAACAGAAGTGCCGTTGTTGGGACGTGGAGGCCAATTAGCAAAAGGATCGATTTCATCAAAACACGGAGTAAATGATGTTCCTGTGTTTAGTTGTGTCTCACCATCAGCTGCTGGAGCAGTGAGCTTTGAAGATTGTCTTGGAGGCCACTCGATGTCCACTGGAGGGCAGGTGGTCAGCGATGCTGCTGCCTTGTTTGGCAAAGTAGACATGCTCGATTGCTGTGACTGGCTTGTGGATTTGTTAAACTGATGGTTTGTGTCGTGATGAGAAGACACAGAATTTCCCAAAGCAGAATCTTTACTCGGAGAACCCCAATCCTCATCCCAAGCAGGACTGCTCTTGGCTGCAGAAGCAACCTTCTCAGGTGTTTGGTTTGATGATTGAAACTGGACTCCATTGGCAGCAGAATTCGGTTCCACCTCTGGGATACCAGAATCATTCACTGAAACTCCTCTTTTTTCCTCTATTTTTCTGTTCCAAGAGACACAAGCAGATCAATATAAACACTATGCAGTGGTAAGGACGTGAAAACACTATTCCTAAGTACTACATGAGACTGAGAACGGTAGGCATACCTGAGAATATCCTTAACAAATTGCATATATTTGGCAAATTGCTGGACATTCAGTTGTTGGGCAGTGAGAAGCGGCATCATCAGAGTAAGCACGTGTTCTGCGGTGAATTCAACTCCATACTAGAGAACAATAACAGAAAATGCAGATTATGAGATGGGATGCTACCACAGATACAGATAGAAAAGGGGAAAGTCAGGAGATTCAAACTTGAAACACAAAAGGAGAAATTGGAGCCTGTTTTCTACCTGTTTGAGGATTGCGTTTGCGACAGCAAGGGTACACATAAGGGTAGGTGCAGAACGATCAACCGCAGTACAACGCTGAATTGTTTGCAGAATTTCAATAACAGCGGGTTTATCAAGCGTTTGAACCAGCTCGGCTAAACAGAGCAAAGCATTTACTCTGACCTGAACAACAAGTACATTCAAATAAAAATATTACTAAAGGACACTAGTTTATTTCATTATTTCAATATATTTTCCAAAATATTAAAGAGAATACCGGCTGACATTATCGAACAATGAATAACCTACCGCAGCAACTGTAGTTTTGAGAGCCAAGCCATGAACACGGGGCAAAATGGCTTGCTTTACAACCTGCAAAATCAAAATGGACTAGAGAAAATAACTAGAAGAACTCGTCCAGTGTAATTTACTGACACTACTCTGCACAAGCACAGAGCCTAAATGTGTGTAACACCATCGCTGTTCAAGCCGCACATCGAAATTGAATTTATCCTTCTGGACAAAACATTAAAAACAAAGCATTGAGCATCACCTGACCATCAAGTTGCTTAGCAACAGATGTTGATCTTTTAAGAACTTCCTCCTGAATCCGAACATCATTATCATTGTAAGCTCGGAGAAGCAAAGGGAGGACATGCGATATAAGATGCTCGCTATTAGTCTGAAAAGTTACACAAAAACATTAGCCAAGAACAACCTCAACTTGTATGCGACTTAAAACAAGGGAAAATGATTTCTATGCATATCTACAACTATGGAAGCTATCAATCAGATTCATAGATACAAGACAAATCAGAAATAGATCTCGAAAAAGATATGTGATACGATTAGAGAAATTACGTCCCTCTATGTATCAGTTTATGGCAACACAAAAGACTATTATGACCAGTGCCAGTACATCTGTCACAGGGAACCATACTTTTCACAGAATTATTTATCCCATCGTACTATGTACAATCAGAAAAACTAAAGCAGAAACAAAAATGCGCAGAATGAGAATACCATAATTCAGTAATGCATACACGTTGATCAATTTTACCTTGTTAGTAATAAGCTCTGCATGCTTTACAAGCAGTAGTAATGTATCTCCAGAAGCAGTACTCAGAACAGGAACAAGAGCCGGCAGTGTTATCAACTCAAAGTCACTCCTATCCTGCAAATGTAATTTTAAGGTTTTCAACTTCCAAGCATTCAGTCAAACACCAGTGCGAACTCTAAAGATCAAAGACCATTGCTGAAGAAATTCTCAATTTTTGTACAAAGCGGAATGTTGAGAAATAATTTAATGAAATATCTAACAACAAACACCATTTGCTACAAGTAAAACAATCTGGGGAGGACCTGCGGTTAAAATACAAGTAAGTGATATGGAAACTAGTTTTAACTAGAACTCACACCTATAAATCAACAACAATCTACACATGGGACTCTGATGAACCTAAAGTTGAAATTACCTGAGATTGTGCTATAGTTAGAACCATTGGCAAGATCATTGGTTGCAAAACCAAATTCCTAAGTTCAGCACAAAGAGGCGGAAGCACCTGCATGGTAAAACCTTCGTTTAGTTGATGCAAGACAAACCACTTGACAAATCTTTTCCTATCAAGTCGCAGGATAAGTCAGTAAAAATGACTACCTTATACCGTAATACACGGGAATCAAAGTCTTTCCACATATCTGATAATGCTTTTAGGAACTCAGACTTCTGCATGTTGTCTCTTTCCTGCAATAAATAGAAGCATGTTCCGAAAAGTTTATCAGATGTGGAGATACATTCATCTGATTTCTGATAATTATAGTCTGTCTGAAATGATGATTGGAAGTGTATACACGTACAAGCATATGATCAAGGAAACGGAGAGCACGTAACCTAGCATCGCTTCGGAAAAAATTAGATCCTATAGAGCAAGAGTTCCAAGGCAAAGATGTAAGTAAGAAACAAGGAGAGAAAAATTGTTACAAGAAATAACGAAATCTCATCAAGACTATGTCCTCTTACCTGTGAAATCTAATGCTGTTGGTCTGAAGGTCTCGTTCATTGATAGCATCCCTTGCAAGTCAGATACCAAGTCCGAGGGTATAGATGAGAAAGATTCGTTTGTTATATAGTTCAACGTGTTTAGGTACTGCAAGAATTTCAAGATAACCATCATGAACCGTGGGATCTCCAAAGATCTATTACTATTCTACTGGATCCCTACTAAAATCACTTCTAAGACATATAGCATGAGACACAACATATCAGAGAGCATATATAAGGTTTTAGAGTTACCATCTTGACATTGTTATTGCAGTCTAACAACGGTTTCCGAGCAACTAAATGATAGGCAAGGCATCCAAAACTGAAAATGTCCGACGAAGCTCCAGCTGAAGGACCTTTGCTGCGCACCAGTTCAGGTGCAGTGTAATTTAGGGACGGCTGGACTGGCAGCATTGAATCCTCGACATCATATTCCTGCACGGTCCATATCAGAAGACAATCATCATATGTAGGAAGTTGTCTTGCTTGCACAGTTGAATAAAACAAATAGATATACAGGCTACAGCGGTCTGGTAACATTTCGACTTTAAACTCACAGAATAGTGGAACGATTGCATGTTATCCAGATTCCCAGCCTGCGCTGTTGAAATAGCAAACCCAAACCCAGCAAGCTTCCAAGAACCAGATGAAGTAATAAGAACATTCTGCAAGGAAGTTACAACTCCACATGTTAAGAAAACATACACATAAAACTTCCACGAAGAGAAACAAGTATGACTAAGAAATTTTGAGAAAGTAACCTCTGGAGATATGGCTCGATGGATGAGATTTGCGTTATTGTGTAGAAAGTTCAGTGTCTCGGAAATCTGGAGCAGACCGTGTTTCACCTCCAACAAGCTCATCTCCTGCACAATTATAGCAAATAATAAGCAATCAGACATTTCCTCAACCCTTTGAGAGCTTMAAAGATCACTAAAAGCAGTTGGTCTCGAAGCCAATGTCGAACTCAAATCGAGATGAAATCACAGCGAACAACATGATAGACCGGATAAACGACGCTAACAGAGAGCACAAACAGAGGAAAGCTCACCATTGACTTCAGATCTTTCGGCACATTAGCCACATTCTCCACATTCCCAAGCGCATTAGCCACGGAAGCAAAGAGCGGTTCCGTAACTAAAGCCATAGCATTCTTATTCTCATCAAGTGCCTGCACCACGTGGACCACACCAGGATGCCTCAACCGCACAAGCTTCCCTGCATCAGCTCGAATCAGATCAAGAAACGCGTCTTCGGCTGCTTTAGATAGCCCAGCTCGAACACGAGCTTCCGACAAAGCACGCTTATCAAGCATCCAGACGCAGACGGTCGGATACTGCTGGGACCGCGTAGAGTCACGCGCCTTGGCTGCGTATAGCTTCCAAGCGAGGCCAGGACCAGCGGAACCGATCTGATCGAGTAGCTCGTAGTCCTGAAGAGGCTTAGGTCCCGTGACTTCCTGGACTGTTGTATGAACCGTCTTCTCGATCACAGCAGCCGTTCTAGCCAGAGCTTGAGTCAGCGTTTTCATGTTTATCGACATTTCTGCCGGATTTCGAACAATTGCTCCCTAATTGTTGTCGGCGACGATGTGAGAGATCTTCGAGCAAAGCAGAGAAGAGAATACCGAATACGTATCTGATCGGGATCGAGGAAGAAGACGATGGTGGATAGATAGAAGCAGAAGTCTGGATCGAAGATCAGATCGTCTTCTTCCTCTCCACCTCTCTCTCCTCTTTCGGGCAACTTGTCTGTTTGAT